ATGATGCATCGGGCTTTCAAAATTTGTGCTTTATTGTATGTACATACAATTATTTTTTATCCTATATGTAGGGATGGAAATTATACCGTATAATAAGATTTGGTATATATACCGGGTTATTATACCGTATAATAACCGTATAATAACCATATATATAGATATGGGTTACATAAAACCAATGATGTGATCAAGTACTGAAGTAAGAGATATCGAATACGTAAAAATTTATTTATATTAAATTCAATTGAAATTTAATATATACATATATACGCTTGTGTATACAAATATGCATGTAGTGTTTATTCAAGAATAATGCTTAGAATTGTTTGCTACAACGATTTATTCATTTAATAATTCTAACTCCATTATTGAACCACTATTATTATCAACGTCGGATAAATAGATTGGTTCGATTTCTTCTTCAATGCCTTTACAAATTCCTTCCTTATAAATTATATCATCTATTTCCATATCTTCATCGTTATAAATCTCTTGATTAATCTGATTAACCTTGCTATTATTAATTCCGGTATCAATCTTGTTGTTTACTGGTTTTTCTGCATATATTCGAAGATTTTCATAAACATAAACTAGTTTTTTAACTCGAGTATTATGTAACCGATTACGAAGCTTGCTGTGAATAAAACCAAATGTAGAAAAATTTCGCTCTGCTGCAGCAGAGGATGTTGGAATCTTAAGAATTTTGATCGCTAGTTGTTTGAGACTACTATCAGGCCATGATTCCCACCACAATACTATAAAAATTGTTAAATTTAAATACCTTTAGTTAGTAACATTATAAAATCATAGATCTTAGAATTATTTAAAAAAAAAATACCTGGGTCAAGCGTAGTAGCTGATTCCCAAATAATATAATCATCGTATGGAGAACTTTTGTTTCGAAATTTAACAATTTCAACAAATAATTTTACGGAGCTTTCTTGTCCAAATTTTAGATTAGCAAATTTTGTAAATGCATTATATCCTATAGGCTCTATATTATAAATTCTGCTTTCTTCTAAAAAT